TAATAATAAATAATAATAGATAAATATATTGATAAAACTGTAAGAAACGATGTCAGTTTCAGATGTTCTTGATCTCAACATTAATTTGGAGAAGACACAAATTTTGAATTATTTTCCATCGGTTTCGTCAAGGACAAATGAATAGAAAAATGTTAATAACTAATTTTAAATTATTTTTTAATGACCAAGACCGTAAAAACCATTTGCTTATATCAACTAAAACCGACCATTAATTACAATTTAGCCTACTTATGCTCATATTTGAGCTAATTTCTTAGATGCGTAGTAAAGAACTTATTACTTTTAAATACTGGTAAAACATTCACGGCTATACATAAATAATTTTTTAAAACTCGAATAATGTTAAAATAAACGTGAAATATAAAAGTAAAAACAGTAATGTGAGTAATTGTCAATGTAATTTAATGTTTTCACATGGCTATTTTGTCGCATCTTATTTTCAATACTGTCACTCTCAGTTGCTATGATGAAAGTGACCATTTTTAATTCAATAAAATGCCAAAGGAATACTTAAACCTGTCAGTTACCTTTTGAAAATAATTATTAATCATGATCAGACGCTGAAATTATACAAACGAAGATTATTAAACTTATTGATTATTTATAGAGAATATGATAAAGTTATATCAAGAATACTAAATATTTTTAACATAGTCTATTTTATGTCAGCAAATATTAAAAAACTATCACCATCGAGCCAAAACAAGAAGGTCCGGTATTCCATTCATGGTATCATTTACGCTACTTTACTACACATTCCTTGGAAACCGGTATTCAGGCGCATCGAAACGGATTTGGAAGACTCCGACGGTCGCGTGGTTTCAAATTCCTCGGGCAACCCCGCTTCCTATTGGCTCAAGTCGGATTCCACGCATTCCGACGAAGGTGTAGCATTCTTCGGGTCTCCCCAGAGACAAGAAATAATTATCTCTTGTCTCTGGGTCTCCCCGTCTGCTATCGGATGAACGAAAATTCCACGAACTCTTCAGGATATTCTTCACGTTTTAAATGGGTTTCGGTTAGAGACCCAGATTTGAGGTGTCATAGAGTAAATGCCAAAATGACACGATTTAGCCACACACAGGGTCTTTTTCCCGCCCAACTCCAAATTTATTTAATTAATTCGCTAATTTTTGTTGAAATTCAGGCATGCACAAAGTCAATTTTTGAAGGAAATTTGGGAGATTCTAAATTCAAATATTATAACTCATATTATACTCAAACTCTTATAATGGTTTATTTCAATTAATATCATAAGCTACTTTATTATTTTACCCATTTTTATGCCCATTTACCCATATTTTGCCAATACCCATTTTTCACGCAAGATAAAACACAAAACGTTATATTTTTAATACTATGTCGCCTCTGTCCCAGATAATCACATCCAAGTGACGTGCCAAAAATGATGATTTTAACGTCAATTAACTCATCTTTTACACGTCATCATCACGTGACCTGCTCCTAAACTCTATCATTCCCGTAAGAATGGCCCCTGTAGTAGAAACAACAATTATCTTTGATGGAAATGAAATGAAAAGTATTTAAGTACACCATAATAACAACATTGCCCCATAAAGATAACAAATAATTGCTCCGCCCCTGTACACAGTGCAATCACCTGATTGTATCATGACGTTTGCACGCGTGCGTCATAACCTCAAACTTCTCGAACGAGAATAGTAAACAAAGATTAGTTAGTTATGTGCAACATCAATAAACTATATAAAGTTGAGTAAGTGAAAAGAGCCAGTTAGCAACCGTTTTACGACCAATTCATAACTGGTGAATGACACCCAAGTGAAACGCCAATATTATGGACTTGACGAAAATCGCGAAACTAAGCTGCATAGTTTTATGTGCAGTTGCAGCTGCAGTAAATGGCAAGTTGCACCCGGTGGTGTTTATTCCTGGAGATGGCGGTAACCAGTTGGAAGCCAAATTGAACAAGTCAGATGTGGTGCATTATATCTGCCAGAAAACCACCACCGACTACTTCAATATCTGGCTGAATATGGAGCTGCTGGTGCCACTTGTGATTGATTGCTGGATCGACAATATCAAGCTGACCTACGACAATGTTACTAGGACAACACGCAATCCTCCTGGGGTGAGTTTCTTTGCATATTAATCGAAGATTAAATCATCGATGTTGTGTTTGTTCTTGTATTAATTGGGTAATCAGATGATCGAAGATTAGCAATCACAAACCAAGAACTTTGTTTGTTTTATTGAACATCAATAATAACAAAAACAAGTTTGACACTGAAGAGTGTAGTAATAATAAAAACACCAGTTCACTTGGTTACCGAAGCTTCAACCAAGTATACAACAATCGAAAGTTCTAACAATTTGAATCCAGTTCAACCAATGCAAAACTCACATTTAGAAATGTTTTTCGGGCTTTGAAGCCGTGGTCCATGGGAATTTCTTCCTGACGTTTCGTCCACAACTGCGCTGGACATTATCAAAGGCGATGAGGTAGCGGGCAAAGTGATCTTCCGTGCTTTCCGACAAAAACTGGTTCAACTACTGTGTTGGAACATATTTATTTTCAGCTAAGTTTACATACTTCTCACTGCTACTTATTCTACGGATCCTTAGTGCTAACATCGTTAGAGTGTCTAACACTCTATGTATCTTAAGATATATCATCATATGACTTAATCTAAGTTAACCTAACAAACCTAATCTAAACCTAAACCTAACAGCCTCTCTTGCTTCCTATAACTAACTTAAAGTTAGCCCATGGTCCTTGATGGGTTCAACTACTGGGTCCCCTGTCGTATTAATGCGTCCCGGCCGTGTGACCTCATGCGTGAGGAGTGTCCAGGGCTTCAATTGTTTTGGCCCACACATAAATACGACAGGGGATCCAGTAGTTGAACCACTACCCCTAACCTTCGTTCAGTTTGTGGCAAATTTTCTCCACGCGAGAAAGTTTTTTATAACTCTGTATGAAACAAAATCCTCCACCCGATCTATAAAAGCAGGAGTCCCAGAGGGCGCCCCGCTTTCCCCAACTCTTTACAACCTAAACACAGCTGATGCCCCAAATAGCCCCCAGTTCAAAGTTGCTCTGTTCGCCGATGACACGAGCCTCTATCATTGTAATAAAAACATCAACTACATTATCCCACCTTTACAACGACACTTAAACACTTTTCAAGCCTGGGCCGACACCTGGAAAATCAAAATTAACTCTGAAAGAACTAAAGCCATGATAATAACTAGAAGAACAGTCAACACAAACACTCCAAAACTAACACTGAACGACACGCAAATCGAATACACAAAGGCAGTGAAATATCTTGGCATAATATAGACTCTAAGCTAAATTTCTCTCAACACATAAACAAAAGCATTAAAACAGGAATTCAAACTGCCGCCTACCTACACCCTCTTYTTAACCGCAAAAGCAYACTCTCACTACAAAACAAAACTCTAAKCTACAAACAAGTGATCAGAGCACAAGTTTGTTACGGGGCACCTGTCATCAGCCAAATATGCAAATCAAACATAAACAAACTCCAAACATTCCAAAMCAAACTCCTACGTCGAATTTCACGCGCTCCTTGGTATATTMGAAACACCCAAATCCACAAAAACCTCGAAATGGAAACGATTCAAAAATTSATTTCKAAACTACACAAGAAGTTTAAAAGCAGAATCCTCGACCACACCAATCCCCTAATCCAAGAGACTTTTTCCCGAACAATCCCAAAACTCCACTTCAAATCTTCCAATAGTCTAATGGCAGACCCCCGTTGGGAACRCCCACCTTAAGCAAAAACCCGGYTTAAAGAAAAACTAAATTTAAACGCATTAAAAATAAATAAGGCYAAACCACAGAATCTTTCTTCCAAATKASSCMAAACTTACTTTTTCTTTTTCASWGRATCTATTTTTATTTTTTTGGTTTACTCATTAATCTCAGGCAAATWATCCCCTTCCTCACCCMGGMTCACTCATGGGCGAGCACTAAAGMCTAGAAGCCTTAACTGKYTAAGTCTAAAAAACGTTCAACACACGATAGTTGAACCAGTCTTAGTCGGAAAGCACGGGGGATCACTTCGCCCACTGCCTCATCGCCTTTGATAATGTCCACTGCAGTTGTGGACGAAACGTCAGGAACCAACTCCCATGGACCACGGCTTCAAAGCCCGAAAAGATGTCTAAATGTGATTTGACCGGTCGTGAAAGCCTTCACAGTCTGATACAATGCAAAACTATTTGCACGGTTCCTTTTGTTCCAGGTGGACATCAGAGTTCCCGGATTTGGGACGAGCGAAACTGTTGAGTGGATAGACCCCAGTCACGCTGTTACTGGATCATATTTCAAGGATATTGCCAATACTCTGGTTTCCATGGGCTACACTCGTAACGTTAGCATTAGGGGCGCTCCGTATGATTTCAGAAGAGGACCCAGTAAGCATATGCATTTTATACATATTTCACGACTACTTGAAAGAAGGTCACATGCAAATTCGATGAAAATTATATAAATTTCCAGACGAAAACCAGGACTACTTCGTCCAACTGAAGAAGCTCATAGAAGACACATACGAAGCAAACAACCAGACCTCGGTGATGCTAATTGTACATTCGATGGGCGGGCCGATGTCTTTGTTTTTTTTGAACCAACAAGCACAGTCTTGGAAGGACAAGTACATCAAACGCCTGGTGGCTTTGAGTGGAGCTTGGGGGGGATCTGTGAAGGCCATTAAAGTCTATGCAATGGGTAGGAATAGCTGGAAGGCCCGCTAAATTCTTCGAATGTCTGGTCTCAGATGAGAATCTTTCCAGGAGATGACTTGGGCTCGTACGTACTCAGACCAAGCGTGATGCGGCCGCAACAGATCTCCCAGCCCAGTACTGCCTGGCTCTTACCATCCCCCCTATTTTGGAAGCCCGACGAAGTCCTAGTTGTAACCGACAAGAAGAACTACTCGTTGGCCAATTTGCAACAGTTTTTCCAGTAGGTTGTTTCATGGGCAATAGGGTTAAATTTAATAAAATCCTTGTTGTGGTTCCAGGGGAATTTCGTTTCCAGACGGCTGGGAGATGCGGAAGGACATTGAGCCCTATCAACAGCATTTCAAACCACCGGGAGTCGAAGTGCATTGTCTGTATGGAAGCGGTGTCAATACTGTGGAGCAGTAAGTAGCAAAAAACTGTAGTTTTTGTTTTTAAATTGCCCTATTTGCTCTGTTGAGAAATGTGCAGATGTTTCTAAATACGCTACTTAATTGTGAATAATTTATATTGCCACGTTTGATCGGAATATATTACGATCAATATGAACGCCATGCGAACCAAAAAAAATGGAAAACAATTAATTACTCTAAAAATCACTAAAATGAGAATAATCCATTGTCCCATTTTTCTTATCAGTACTAATAGCCAGGCAAGGTATCATCGTCTCAAGCCTATTGGCAGTGACGTTCTTATTTGAGACGTGTATTGAAAATTACTCGTCTGATTAGTTCAAGAGATTTTCTTTCATAAGCCGTGGTTGCAAGCTTGAACGTTTTTTGCCGGTGGATGTGATTAAACCAAATCCAGATTTTCGATTGTCCATAAATTTAAATGTATTTTTTAAACTTTTTAAAAAAATCAATGCACTTTATACGGCGGTTTGGGTTAAAAAACGCAATTTTAACTCATTAGGGCTCAAAGTTATTAAAAAATCATCCTACCAGTAAATTCCAATCCCCAACAATCTTCAAGCAGCCCTTTGGACTTGCGCACCAAATTCACAGATTCAGTCCAGCAGGCGAATTTGCGCATGGCTTTATAGTTGCTGTATTTTGGCAGTAAACGTCAGAATAGAATTGATATTCAAAGTCCGGTATTTTCGCAAAARYCACTCTGCCRWTCAGGAAAATWRCACAAAACGGTAGAGAAAAAATTCTAGTTTCGGAAAAYCAGAAACTTTCATCAGAATTTGGGAACTTCCGGRAAATATTTGGAAAAATTCAGGGAGCGATTTGCAAACGGCCTCACTTATYAAGTTGGAAGATGGTACGCTGATTGTGACAATGAGCGGCGAAGCGACGTGACTTGCTCCACATTAGAGGCCAGTTGAAACGAAAGACGTACGTCTGAGTTTGATTTGCTAGGATTTTAACCAAATTTGTTAGGTATGTAAATGTCATGGAGTTGGATTTTTCGGGTTTAAAAACGCTGAAAAACAGTGAATACACAGCCAATAAATAGCAAGACCGACATTTTTTTCATTGAATGATTTATAGTTAAAAATATCAGCATTAAGATCGAACAAATAAGGATTAAACTTACTGAAATCACCGCAAATGTTCGAAAACTCATCCATTGGTTTCAATGCACTTTTGCCATCTTTTTCGAACGGATTTTAAGACATTCGTTATGCGTAACGGTTTAATTTCTGCAATGAATTGTTGGGTTAAAATTACTTCTTGGCAAATGTTTCCAGCATTTTTTTCGGTTACTTGAAAAGATTGGTTTTGATTAAATCAAATCCAGATTTTCAATTGTCAATAAATTTAAATGTATGTTTTAAACTTTAAAAAAATTAAATGCACTTTATACGGCAGTTTGGGTTAAAAACGCAATTTTAACTCATTAGGGCTGAAAGTTATTAAAAAATCCTCCTACCAGTAAATTCCAGTCCCCACCAATCTTCAAGCAGCCCTTTGGACTTGCGCACCAAATTCACAGATTCAGTCCAGCAGGCGAATTTGCGCATGGCTTTATAGATGCTGTATTTTGGCAGTAAACGTCAGAAACACAGCCAATAAATAGCAAGAACGAATTTTTCGTCATTGAATGGTTTATATACTTAATCTAAAACTAAAACCGTTGCACGTCATCAACCGTCAAACTGACCCTGTTGCCAAGTTGTCATGAAAATCTTTTGTTTTTGATAAGGGATTATTGAATTGGTTTTATATCAATAATAATCGCTAATAGTAGAATATCAGTACAAAAATTGCATTTTTAAACGTACTAAATATAGCTACCATAATTTTATTTATTTTAAAGAAATGTAAGGGATTGGTTAAGTATAGGTAATAAAATAAAATGTATTTCTTTCATTTATCAATCACACAAAAACATTGATCACTTTCGAAGACTTTAAAAAACTCAAAGCTAACAAATACGATTGAGATATGGGAAAAATTAGCAAAAATTTATAGGCAAAAATAAAAACTAACCAAACCAAAAACTAATCGACAAATCAAACGTCAACCTAACACTGTAATTCGCTACCAACTTATAAGGTTAAAAATTCGTTCAAACTGAATCAAACAGTAAAGATTCGTCTATTGACGGAACATATCGGCGATTAGGTCTATCTCTCTTTAATGTACTTTGCTATAAGTAAAGTGAACGTGATCGTGACGTATAACGATATATAATACTACTTTGTAATTATATTAGTAATATATTTTGTTTGTGTGATGTGAAAATTACTAATTTGGGGTGTTGATGACGTGCAACGGTTTTAGTTTCAGATTAAGTATAGTTAAAAAATATCAGCATTAAGATCGAACAAATAAGGATTAAACTTACTGAAATCACCGCAAAACTCATCCATTGTGTTCAATGCACTTTTGCCATCTTTTTCAAACGTATTTTAAGGCATTCGTTATGTGTAACGGTTTAATTTCTGCAATAAATTCTTGGGTCAAAATTACTTGACAAATTTTATTTTCCAACATTTTTCCCGGTGGTTTGAAAAGATTGGTTTGATTTTTGCAATTAATTATTTGATCAAGTTCTTGGGTTAAAGTTACTTCTTTATAAATTAAATTTTCCAACATTTCCAAAAAAATTGGGAAAAATAACTCACTTTTTTTGTTTCGCTTTAATTGCCTGCATTTTTTTCAATTTTGTTGTGAATAAATTAAATAATGCACAAGCTATTAAGATATCGGAAACAATGTTTATCTTAATGGGGTTCACAACTGGACAGACTTTGAACTTAACATGCGAGATTCTAAATTACTGCAAAAATTCATTTATCCAACGAGCCGATGCGATTATTTTCAAAAATATCGCTCGGAAGATTACGGATGTATTTGATTACAGCTAAAAATAATGTTGATTTGTCTCTAAATGTAGATTAGATCGTTTAAATAGTTCATACAGATAATCTTAGTTGAGTTTGTTCATGAATATGAAATGTTTGTTGTCTTTTTTTCTGGGTCGTAAAAACGCATTGAGAAATATTTTATCAACAAAGGAACTAAATGGAAAAGGAATAATTGCGTTTTTATTGCACCACACAAATATTCGGACGTTTATTAAATTTTGGTAATTAACAACAATTAGACCTTCTAAACTAAAAGTTAATATTTGGTGTGGAAAATATGACTTTTTATAAAAACTCTATGGATTTTGTCCCACTTTTCCGCTAACAAAAATCCAAATTTTCGTAGGAAAATCGTTACCGTTTGAGGTGGAGAAAGCTAAGAAAGGCCAAAAGGTATGTTGCTCTTTCTGTGCATTTGGTGTAAATATGACGCTAACTTCATAGAGCCCTGAGCATGACAAATATAGTCGAAACGTCGGCCCATGAAAAATAGTGTTTTATTTTTGCCACCATCTATTGACCGAAAAACCGACAGACCTAAACAGGCGTCTTTAACAGATTATTTCAGATCTTTTGCAAACATTCACACTAACAAATGATATTGATTCCAATACAGAAATTGGTGTACTTTTCACTTTATTAGTGAAATAAGTAATGGTTTCTTTTTGTTTCAGATTGCAATATAAGCCGGGCACTTGGCTAGACGGGACGCCCAGTTTGATTTACGGGGACGGTGATGGCACAGTAAATATCCGCTCTTTGGAAGGGTGCAAGCACTGGCAGCCCCTACAAAAACCGAAAGTTTTCTGCCAGCCTTTTCCCAACACCGATCATATGGGAATTCTGCGCAGCAATCAATCCCAAGAGTATATTGCGGGATTGATAAGAGCGGATGAGCCGGCATTTAAGTATGCGCGCAACGAGCAGGATCAGAAGCTTTGGCTGGGCAAATTTGCGCATCGGAGGAAAGAGAGTGAGAACCGTGCAGATGAAAAGCTTCGACATAGTGTTTAGGATGATTATTTAGGTTTGAGCCACGAGAAGAAAGTCTAAAAGTAGAACATTAATTTATATGATGTTTGCTATTTGCTGAGCTTTGTGTACAGGGTGATTCATTTACAATGGGAAATACAGAACCTGGATATATTACACGTGAAACATTTTTTTGCCAATAACAATCATTTCACGTATAGAATCTCCAGTTTCCCGATTGTTAGGGAATCACCCTGTAGAAGCACTGCGAACTTTGCATTTATAGCACGAGAAGTACTGCACAGTTCAAGTTACAATCACGCAGCAGATGAGTCTGCAATCTTATTATAATTGTGAATGTTTAAGTGATAAAGCCATTAGTGTTGCCAACTAATATTAGTCGAAAACCAGTTACCACCCAACTATTAAGAATTCTGTTAAAATACTCTTGTAACAGTTAAAAAACTGTTGCGAATATGTTACAGTTGATATTAAATCGAGATCTGACGTTATTTCGTATTTCTCACATTCCAACGCAACCCAATCGTCCAATTAACATGCCTTTGCAAAGATTCCTTCGATGTTTGGCCGAAACACCGACAGACGATCGATTTTTTGTCGGTGTTTCGACGAAACCTCAAAGGAATTTCCGCGGCAAATTAAAAAAAAATGCAAAACTAACACTTTTCTTTAAATCTACTTTTTGAAAAATCCTGCCAACTTTCCACGATGTTTTAAGTCCTACAAATGGCCAATTAGTGCTCTATATGAGCACTAATTGGCACCAATAAACACTATCTCTATATGATCTATATATTTGTCTGTAAACTGCCTTTTCCTCAGTCTTGTTCCACTCACTAAAAGAGCCTCTAATTCTCTATCCAGTGAAGAAAAACAAGCTCTGAAGGTAAAACAGTTGTTGAGAGTCGGCGAAAAAGGGGGCGTTATGCATGAGCAGTTTTCGCGATTTAAGAAAACAACGCGAAAAAAACACTTCTCAAAACTGCATTTTTCGAAAAATATTGCCAAGATTTTCCATGCCGTGCTTTTGGTCCTAAAAGCGCCAATTAGTACTCTATATTGTAGTGTAGAAATGAGCGCTCGAGCTCAAGAGGTTTCTGAGAAATTAGCAAAGAGGCGCCGGAAAACATGGAAATTTTTGTTTAAAATTCGCTTTTTATCTGAAATCTGCCTTTTCCTCAGTCCCGTTCCACTCACTAAATCGAGCCTCTAATTCGCTATACAGTGAATAAAAACGAGCTCTGAAGGTAAAATAGTTGTTGAGACTGGGCGAAAAAGGAGGCGTTATGTATGAGCAGTTTTCGCGATTTAAGAAAACAGCGCGAAACAAACACTTCTCAAAAATGCATTTTTCGAAAAATACTGCCAACATTTGCCATGCCGTGCTTTTGGTCCTAAAAGCGCCAATTTATGATTTATCCAGTAGTGTATAAATGAGCGCTCGAGCTCAAGAGGTTTCTGAGAAATGAGCAAAAAGGCGCCGGCAAGCATGGAAATTTTCGTTTAAATTTCGCCTTTAGTCTGAAAACTTCCTTTTCCTCAGTCCCGTTCCACTCACTAAATCGAGCCTCTAATTCTCTATCCAGTGAAGAAAAACGAGTTCTGAGGGTCAAATGGTTGTTGAGAGTCGACGAAAAAGGCGGCGTTATGTATGAGCAGTTTTTGCGATTTTAGAAAACAGCGCGAAACAAACACTTATCAGAAGTGCATTTTTCGAAAAATACTGCCAACATTTGCCATGCCGTGCTTCTGGTCCTAAAAGCGCCGATTTGTGCTTTATCCAGTGGTGTATAAATAGGCGCTCCTACTCAATCTGTTCCTGAGCAATGAGCACAAAGGTGGCGGAAAACGAGCAATTTTTTTGATAAAATTTCTTGATTTAAAGAAACCTCCCAAAAGTAACATTTTGCTAGAAATTTTGACTTTTTTCAGAAAACTGCCAACATTCCCATGCCATACTTTAGGCCCTAAAAACGCGAATTGGTGCTCTATCGACTGGTGTAGAAATGAGCGCTCCAGCTCAATCTTTTTGAGAAATGAGCAAAAAGGGTGAAAAAAAACATAAAAAATTTCGATTTTTGTGTGAAAACTGTCACTGTTTTCTCAGTCACGTTTCACATTCAATTCACTAATTCTCTATCCAGTGATAGGAAAAGGAGCTCCTCAGCTCCAATAGTTCTTGAGAAACGTCGATAAAGGAAAAAAACTGCCGACGTTTCTCAACCCCGTAAAAGTGCTATTTATAGCTCTATCCAGTGGTGTAGGAATCAACAAAAAGATATCGGAAAACTTGGAAATTGGATTTAATCTTACACCTAAATGCCTAATTTTCAAATTTCCTTCCACTTTCTGAATCGGGCCTGTTATTCCCTATTCAGTGATAAAAAGGCCAATATGGTGTTTTCACTTTTTTCTAATGTTGATGTATAGAAAGAAGTTATGGCAAACATTACACTCATATAATTTTTTTTGCAAAAAAAGTCTTCATAATAATATTAAAGCGAATTTAAATTCAAATTAGATATTTTCCGCCAAAAACGCCGAATGTGTACCGTCGGTTGCATATCCCGATTGTGACGTAGCAGGTCATATCAACAAAGTGTATCGTGTTTATTTTATTGTTTTCGCAGCTTTGTTGTATTATTTAAGCTCTTCTGATTGTCATTATTTTATTGATTATTATTATTGTTATCGTGCATAATGGAAAATAGTGACAATTACGGATCACAAAATAAGTGGTGTTCTGTGCCAGGATGCAAGAATACCTCAATAAGTGCTCCAAACAAACTCTTTAACCGTTCCCCATGATTATGCACGTGAAGTTTTATGGTTCAAAGCAGCTAGACGTGATGTTCCTAAATGAAAATCGATGTTTTTTTGTTGCGAGGATTATTTAATGAAAGTACGAACAAAAAGCTAATGATGAGGCAGACAGGATATGCCTTCGATCGTACTTTGTGTTCTGGGCAAATTCTACCTTGTACAGTGCACAAAGAACTCTCGCGTTTGCCTAAAATACAAATTTAAGAGTTCATTTTACTTTTTACGGATTTTTACTTACGCTGCTGCTTTGACCCTTAAATTCGGCTGAATTAAAGCGTTCGTCGTTTTTTAAAAATTCGGTAACCATAAAAATATGTACACATAGTAAATTGTTTGTTGACGCTTTAAGGAATTTTTTACTTTAACACAAACTATACATTATTTAAAGTCACAAAATAATTAATGAAACATAACCACACAACTAAACACCATGCACAGAACGCAAACAATCCGCCATTTATATGACCAGAGACGTCACAACCAATAGCATTGCATTTTAGAGATTCATGAATAATTTGAATTTTAGCTGAATTTGTTTATTAAATATTTAACAAAATAGCAATATATATATATTTCATTCATTTGATTCATTCATTTCATATTACCATAAATTAATGTTCAGTGTTGTAGGAATTTTTGATACAATGAAAACACCTTATTAATGCTCTCTCTATAAAGTCGTGTAGAAATGAGCAGAAACGTGGCGAAGACCATGAAATTTTGGTCTAATCTTGCACCTAAACGCCCAAATTTCACGTTCCACTTCCGGAATCAGGCTTCTAATTCTTTAATATAAAAAACCCGAGGTTTCGAAAACAGCAGTTTAATTGACTGCATATTTTTCAACCGGTCATATGTGAAAGTAACATACTGAGCGGCAGTTTTTTTTCGCACACATACGGATTTGTGTATCTAAGTGGCTTAAAAATTTGATACGCATATGCGTTTTGTGCTGGCGGTTTCAAGCACTCTTTTTGACCAAAAAGAATATTGGCATAGAAAAAAGTGCTTGTCATTCCGTTCACTTTGCAAGATTTTATAAGCAAAAATATTACTTGCTGATGCCAAATCAGCAGGTAATTACCAGTTTTGTGCCAAAATGGGTAAATTTATGAAAAACGCATATCAATAAACGATGCATATATTTTTCTCTATGAATAATAACACTTAAACCACAACATTGCACGTTCCTATAAAAAGTTTAACTAATTTTAGGACAAATGTACACATTCGGTGTAGGAAAGTAGCAATTAATTCTGGCTGTTTTTAAATAGTTGCAGATAACTTAATAATTAACTGCAGTCGCTTCTGCTGGATTTTTCATATAAAGTGAACGTAGGTCTTAATGTTCTTAGCTGCGCTACTAACAGTACTTTTCATTTTCTCCAGATCAGTATTCTAATTAATACACACACAATTAATGTCTGAAATTCAGCAATTTTCTAGATGATCTTGAGAAAATGCACTACTTTGACAATATCCCATAAAATAGGCACCGTTAATCCTACTGGCCCGATTTTTTCGAGTTTTTGACCCTACGTACAAAAACATAAATTAATAAATGCACAATTCACGTAAACCTAACTTAGAAAAAAATGAAAATATCAACTACTAGAGCCCAGAGTCCCAATCACTGTGACGCCCATAGAGAGACAAAAAATGTTTTAATGTTTTGGTATAAAAATACAGTATGGTAATCACAAAAACAACAAATAAACATACAATCGAAGTTTGCTAAAAGCTGCAGTAAAACCGCTTGTGCATCAAATCTCTTACCGATCCCGAAGACACCATATGTCATGTATTAAACATACTAGAAATACACACGATAATTAGAGGAAATGTGCAAAGAATATCTACTCAGGGTATGATGGAATGGGCACTTAACTGTGACTCACCTTAAAAACGGCATTCGGGCATCAACTCCGTACTTCACATAGTAAATATACCCGATGAGAACCGTGGCAGTGGTGAAAATCAACCCCAATCGACTTCGTCTGCCAAAAACCAACCAAGCGGGAATGCGGTTGTTGAATCGCACCCACATGCTCTTCTGCTTCCTCAATCGATCCCGCATCATTTGCTCGTTTCGCTTCCGTTCGGCCATTCTTAAAAGAAATGCGCCACGTTATCCACCGACAGCCAAGTCACCTAGATACTCTCTAAACATCAAGCAGAGGAAACGAAGCAGTTAAAGACGTTAAAGTGGACCACTTTAATCCAAAATGCAGCGCGTTACAGAGCCAAAACCTACGTGTCAGGAGTAAAAGTGCGAAATAAGCAATATATACAAAAAGACTACTACTGGCTAAAAAAAGCACCAGCAAAAATGCATATACATATGGCTGAACCACCGAGGTGAGCGTCGCATACAGCTATAGGGGGATAGTTTTAAAAATCACATATTCCTGCGTCGATGCCGGTAGGGTCCAAGAGAAGCGAAAACCACCAGATACCAACTAATAGAAAAGACTTTCCTGAGCGCCCAAAATAGCTTTCGAAACAAAACAAGCAATCCAAGGTCTACATACTCTCTGTCCACTCGTTTCTTGACCAATTTCTCCATTTTGTCCGGTGGATAGTCCTTGTAGTATTTTTCGGCCGCGATCAGTATCGTCTCGAAATCCAGATTGTCGGGGATTTGTGAGAGCAAACAATGGATACTTGCCATGTCGCAGCCTAAAACAGTAAACACCTCACCTTCAGGCTTTCAATTGGTTCGTTAGATTTACTTTCAGCGAACACCTCATCTCTGCGGGAAACCACAAGCGAAGTGGCTACATACAAAGGCATTAGTGGCGGAGTGGCTAAAAAGTAATCATACAACCGCACCACGTCCTTGTAGCGGTTTAGAGAGTGCCCGAACCATGTCAGGAACCACGGGAGAGCAAACATCGTGCCTACACCTGCGCTACAAACCAACAATGTCTCTTCGTTTTTTTTGTTCCAACTTCAAACTGAGGCCTCACTCACTTGTCCATAAAATTGTGCAAATCCCTGTCGACGTTGTACAGCAGGGCGTAGATGTAGTTCAGACGATAGTCCGTTTTTTCCATTGTGGGTTCCATGCATTCGCGCAAGTTCTCCGTGCTCAGCTTCTCCATTATTCGGAATGCCACTGCTTCGCCCACCACCAGTAGGAACGTTATCGCCACATCGTGATAGCCCTAAACATGAAATAATTGACATTTTGATGAGACATCGGAATGAAAATTTCACCACTCGATAAGGAAAACTTCAGGTTAAATGTGGTGTGAATTTTGTTCCATTTAAAACACTGGTGAAATTAGAATGAATTTTTAACCTCAAAGTGTTTTTTCACGGTTTTCCATTTTTCAGCCTACATTTCAAAGGCGATTTCTGA